CTCAGTGCATTGTCTCACTGACCCCTCATGGTCACTCTGAGGTGGAGCTATCGTGATCCTCACTGGGTGAGAGGAAGCTGATGTTCAGAGAAGGTAGATGACCAGCCAGGCTTTCCAGCAGTAGAGCTGAGATGTGACTCCCAAGCGCAGCTGATTCCAGAGCCTCACAGTGTCAGGCTTCAAAGTTGTATATGTTTGTATACGTAATTTCGTTATGACCATGTTAAAAATTCCAAAAACCATAAGCCTATGTATATTCCTCCTAGCTGAGTACAAGGGTCCTTCCTGGATTTCTAAAAAATAAGAATGGACAAATTTCATAGTGCTTTACTGATTTGAAAGGTAATGGAGTTGTCCACAATCTGCTGTAAGCCAGTACAGGCACAAGCCATGGGGATGATCACTGTAAAATGAATAAAGGCTGAGGGGGGAGATAGAAAGGAGAATACAGACCTAATTCATACTCATAAAATGAAAAACAAAAATTTTAACCTGTCAAAATTCTTTGCCCCTCTTGCCCTGGCCATGGTCCTGAAATGCCATTTCTCACAGAAAAGAGCCAGGGCTGTGGAGGAAATGGCTGACTCGTGACCTCGGACATGAATTGTACCAGATAAGCCTGGACTGTCCTGTTCCAGATAGCCAGGAGCTGTCACAGAAACTAGAGTGTGTCAAAAGGACTCAGCCAGGGAGATGCCCATGGGCCACAGGACAATGTGAGCATCAGTAAGAATATCAGACTAATAATTATATCAGGTACAAAGACATCAAATATGTTTAAATTCATGAGTTTATAATAATGTTGGGTGGAAACTAAGCCATCTGCATTGGAAGGAAACTGGTGAACTGAAGCATTGTTTTCAAGACTGGTAAATAAAGGGAAAGAATGGAGTGTTTATCCTTCCTTTCCTGTGTAGTAAACTCAACCACTTAATAGCCAAATAGTAGATGGGGAGAGTTTTTCCTTATAAAAGTGTTCCAGCTAATAAACGAAGATGAAACGATCCTATTGGTATATGGCCAGCTGAAACCCCTGGTGAATTAATGGGTCAGCAGCTGCCCACATCACCTGCTGAGACACCCAAGCTAGCCCGCCTCCTGTTGGTAGACCATAACTGACCATGAACTCATTGTGCCAAAAGAAATCAAGCCTGAATCTCACCTCATCCCAATTTACAGGAAGTACAGGGAAAGGAGGAACATGTAAAGAACACCATGAGGATGCCATCAGCAAAATTCAGACTACAGAAAACTCTAGAAAAAAATGATCCAGTTTCTTCAGCAAACAAAAATGTGGGGGCAGGGGTAGAGACAGGGAACCTTCAGTCTAGGAGAGCTTCATGAGCCATGTCAGCCAATCACATTGTGTGGACCACATTCAGCTCCTGACACAAGCAAACTTATTTAAAAAGTGGCATTTACAAAACTGTTGGAAATTTGAACCCTGACTACTTCAGCTTTGATAGTATTGGAGAGTTCTTGTTGATTAAGTTGTGGAATGGCATTGTAGTCCTGAATTTTTTTGAGAGTCCTTTTAGAGACACAGAAGGATATGTTTACAGATGAAATGGTACTGTGGTTGTTACTGCTTCAGCATAACATAGGAAGGGAAAAGTAGGTTGAGGTGGAGATGAAACAGGATTTGCCAAAAGCTGTAGTTGAAACTGTGGAGGGAGGGGGCAGGTTGTGGAGGTTCTTTATTCTGTTTCACTCACTTTTGTATATGTTTAAATATGTCATAATAAGTGGGTTAGGGGTGCCTCAGTGGCTCAGTTGGTTAAGCATCTGACTCTTGGTTTCCACTCAAGTCATGATCTCATGGTCTTAAGACCAAGCCCTGTGTCAAGGCTCTGTGCTCAGCAGGGAGTCTGCTTAAGGAGTCTCTCCCTCTGCCCCTCTCCCCCTCACTTGTGCACACATGCTCTCTGTCTAGATTGAATGAATGAATACATAAATAAGTCTTCTAAAAATTTTTTAAATAAATGAGTTAAAGAAATTAAGTTGCTGCTTTTAGGAGGGGATGGATTTTACTTATTTTACTTTGTTTTCTTTTGATTTAATGGCACCTGTTACTGACAAGAGAGGAGTGAAGTAGGTACATTTATACCTTTGTAGCTGGCATAACCCTTGTGGCTCGCAGTTGGCAGATTGCATCAGAAACCTTAAAATATTTGTACTGTTGGCCCCGGTAATTGCAATTCTACAAATCTGTCTTCAGGAAATAATCCCAAACACAGCAAAAGCTTGGTGAACAAAAGTATGCATTTGTAGGCAAATTTATATCAGGGAAAACGTGGAAGCAACTCATGTCCAGTGATAGGAGAATGGTTAAAGAAATTATTAAATCTATCCACCCAGTAGAGTGCCATGAAGCACATACTGCCATTTTTGAAGACTTCTCAGCAGTAAGAATAATGCTTATGTCATAACTTAAATAAAAATTTGATTTGAAATTATGTATGTAGTATGTTATAACCATGTTTAAAAATTCAGAAACAAAAAAAAAATTCAGAAACAGTAGATCTTTTTCCCCTAGTTTAATTACAAAGTAATTGATTTACACCACTGTATAAGTTTCAAGGGTACAGCACAGTGGTTTTTTTTTTTTAAAGATTTATTTATTTATTCATGAGAAACAGAGAGAGAGGCAGAGACACAGGCAGAGGGAGAAGCAGGCTCCTTGCAGAAAGCCTGATGTGGGACTCGATCACGGATCCTGAGATCAGGCCCTAAGCCAAAGGCAGACGCTCAACTGCCGAGCCACCCAGGCATCCCAGCACAGTGGTTTAATGTGAAATGATGACCATAGTAGGTTCAGCTAACATCCATCTTCTTGTATAGATACTATAGAAAGAAGAAAATAGAAAAGGAAAAAAATGTCTTCTTGTAACTAATTTGTAGGATTTACTCTGTAAACAGTTTTCTTCACATCTGGCAGCACCACGAGCTGTGGTCATCATATGCGCATTGCATCCCTGGGACATATTTATCTTTTTTTTTCATATTTATCTTTTAACTGGACTTTTGGACCATTTGGCCTCCTGCTTTCACTTCGCCCTGTACTACCCTCTACCTCTGATAACCATAAGTCTGACCTCTTTTTCTATGAAATCTGTTAATCTTTGATAGTAAAAGGATTGAAAGGAAATCTCCCCAAATGTTAGTGATTTAAAAGAGCAGACTGAATGACTATTTCCTTCTTTTTCACTCTAATTTTAGGCTTTTCAATAACAAACCTATTTATTAGTTAAATTTTTAGTATTCATTAGCTTTAAAATACCAAAATTCACTTGCAAAAATAACAAAAAAAATAAATATAAAATTTCTAGTGTATTTAGTGTGGTTTTGTTTCTGAATTCCATCTTTAAAACCTTGACAAATGACAGAAGCAATTTATTGGTTAAAGTCAGCCAAACTTTGTTTTTTTAAGGAAATAATATCTTAAGTTATCTCTGCTTATTAGCAGAGAGTTAAAACAAGACAGTTGAAAATGGTGGCCCTGTTAGAGACGGTGTATTGGACCTCCACTGCAGCCCAGCCAGAGGCTGTTAATTTCAGTGCTTATAATTACAAAACTGTGAACTTGATTCTTTTCCTCCCTCTCTCCCTTCCTCCCTGTAGATTGCATGCAAACTAGAAAGAGTTACTGCTCCTACCTTGGTAGTTTGTTGACATCCTTAAGTAGGTGATATCCAGTTACCCAAGCAGTGACCCATTCAATATTACATGGTGTAGCAATAGTTGAAAGTACTGTACAGGAATGAGATGTTTTTATTAACCCTCTCTTAAATGTAAATAAGGGTATCCTCTCTGTTTCTTACCCTGTTTGTAATTCTGGACCATTTTAGGAATACAAAAATAGAGAGATCCTCTCAGCACTTAGAAGTTAATGAAGGAACCAGATGCTCAGAACGTTCACTGATATGCAGGACTAACCAAGAGAAGAGGAGGGTTGCTGCTGGGGACAGCCCAACAGCAGATAAGGGAGAGGGTGTCTAAAGGTGGCATCAGCAGCGATGGAGTTTATGTTGGGTCACACAATTAGGATTGGGGCAAGGGCTCTCGTCAGCCCATTCTGTGATATTGGAGCCTCATCGAACAAGCTAGACCACGGGTCCTGTTCTGAGTCCACCTCCAGGGGCTCACCTGGGGAATGAACAGTAGAGGCATAGCAAAGTAACCGAAGAGTTACATGAACCCCTAAAAGAGAGGAAGGTGCTATTTCTCTTCTTAATGCTGAGTCCATTCCAGCAAATACAACAGGTTACTTTTTCTCTGGCATTATATGAAATTGCACTTTTTTTTAGGTGTGTGGGTTTGTTGTTGATTTTTGTGGGGGTTTTTCATTTTGTTTTTTGTTTTTTTTTAATCCATAATATGTGCTTAGGTTCTAAGAGAGTAAAAGCACTTAATGTATATCCAGGATCATGTTCCTTTTTGGAGATAAAATTCAGCTACTTTCCATTTACCTTCAGAACTTACGTGGTATTGCTTCTCCACTTACTACCAACTATTATAAACAGATAGTTCAGCCAGGCCGGAGCCTTTGGTGCCTGTCTTTAATCTCTCTGTTGTATTCTCCTACATATTCCATGGGTGTGCATAGGGCCATGAGAGAATAGGAAAACAAATGCGTTTACCAAGTCCTAGGATGCCAGAATCTTAGGATAGCCTTTGAAAAAGATCATCTTTCTTAAGACAGAAAAAAATTAAAGGAAATTTTACTCTATCCAGCATATATTAAATCTATGGAACTTATCCTGAGATTTATAAGCCAAAAATATAAATAAATTCAGTGTAGTTACACTGCAGGAAGGCCTTGTTGCTCAAAGCCTGTTCCTGATCACTTTCAGATGCCTTCCCTCCAAGGGTTCTCCCATGTGCCCCTCAGCAACAAGAGGGAGAGGTGATCCTTTTCTCTTCACATAATCTTACCCAGCCTTATGCATTCTGCATGTTCGAGTGTAAGCTTTCATGTTTGCATGCATGTGTTTTGACAGGTGACCTTGGGAAAGGTGTTGAAAGTGATTGTTGTCATGCGGAGCCTGTTCATTGATCGAACAATAGTAAGGGGATATAGTGAAAATGTCTACACAGAAGATGGCAAGGTAAGCATTCTGGAGTCTTCTGTTTCATTTTGCTTTATTTTCTCTGTCCCGAAACAAATGTAGTAGAGTCCCAAATGAATGATATTAAACACTAGCAGTCATAGCTGAAATGATCAACAAGCATGGTTTATCAGTATGAAGATGAACGTTTTACAGAAAAACATTTCTCTCTCTCCCCTTGCATTTTTCATCAAGCTTCTGCTTTTTCCTTTAAGTTGATGCCCTTAGTTGAATTTCTAATTTATCACCTTAGACCCCAGTTGCCTCATTAAATGTGTCTTCTGAGGAAATGGATTTCTTTCTTTTTCTTTCTTTCTTTCTTTCTTTCTTTCTTTCTTTCTTCCTTCCTTCCTTCCTTCCTTCCTTCCTTCCTTCCTTCCTCCTTTCCTTTCCTTTCCTTTTCTTTCCTTTCCTTCCTTTCTTTCCTTTCTTTCCTTCCCCCACCCAGTAGTACAGTACATCAATAGCCCAGGGTTTGGCTTTTTTGGCATTTTGCTTTTCCTAGAACCATGAGGAAAATTCAAGGTACTTTGACACACAACCTGCTCAGGATCTTTTCCCATGAAATTAACAAGCAGCCCTAAGGACAGTGCTTATCTGCAGCAGTGCATACTAAACACTGCCATTGGAAAAATAGGTTCTTTCCATGGGTGATTTGTTTCATAGAAAGTTCACTGGCGTGAACCCCTGATTTCTCCGGACTGCACACTGTCCATATGGCTCTACAGAGAGCATCAGAGGATGCTAATGGGAGCTGACAGCCTTCATTTGTGTTGGCTTCCAGAGTGTAATGAGTGCTCCGCCTGAGATACCCACCCGGATGCACCCTGGCCACTTCCTTGCACTAAGCCTCTGTCTGCCCCTCTCTCCTGAGCGCTCCTTTCTCTTCATGAATCCCATTAAAATTTTTAAAGTATGCTATAGTACTAGCACTCACCACCCAATGGCCACATTATAATGAGGATAGGACGTTCTTCAGAAAAAGGTGACAAATGTAGCTTAGCACATAACAGTGTGTTAAATAAGAGCTATGACCCATAATGTGATGAGATTTGTGTTTTGAACTAGTAACCCAGCATCTCCACATCCCACACAAGTGTTGTCAACAAGGAAAGCTACTCTTACTTCAAGGACTTTGCCAAGTTCTCATATATCTCGCATTGAAAGCCAAAGCGTTCCTCAAGGGGAGATTTTCTTTTTTGGAAAAACCAAAGTGTCTTTAGAGCAGGTGTGGAGAATAAAGCGTGTCATTGGGGCAACATAGTCTGTGTGTATATGATTCGTAAACCCTGGCAGCATCTCTGACAAGCAATTCCAGACTAGTTAGCAGCAGAAGAAGTGACCCTGAGTCACTGGTCCTGACCGTATAGAGATGAGACCATATAGAGACCGTATAGAGATGTGGTTCTTGTTGCCTTTGTTCAAGGTTCACGACTTGTTAGTCACACCTGATATGAATCATAGCCCTTGTCCTCCAGGGATTTACTAGTGCCCTGGGGAGAGAAGGCTAGCAACATAGAAAGCTAATCAACAGTAGCGAGCGTGTGATAAAGTTACAAATTTGGGAGAGGGAGGAAGCATTTCTGATAGATTCTGAGGAGTGAGGGTTTACCTACTTTGCATGATCTCTTTAACACTGAATTTGATGGCCCCATTCTGGAAGCGTCCTAACCAAGCCATGTAAAGCACTTAGCACTTTGCCGCCTAGTCACCACTCAGTAAGGAGCTAATATCATTTTTATTCTGCACTTAAAACAAGGGACTTAGAAAGTTGTCACATTCATGTGCTTCTAGGATTTCTCTGCGGTTACTCCCCCTCATATGCTTCGGACCATTGTCTGCCCCCCACCCCCCATACATACATACCGTGGTTTCATGTGTCAGCCCATGGAGATCACTCCTGACCTGTGTCTAGGTGGGACCTCTCCTCCCCAGGTGTACCTCATGTTTAGCCCGCCCAAAACTTCACTTCTGAAAACCTTGGCTTCTAGAATAAATCCAAACTCCTTAGCAACACATAGAAATGCCAGGTCATCTGGCCCTCCCTTCCTTTCTGACCTTGTCTGCCATCATTCTGTATGCACATTTTGCCTTCCTCTCCAGTCTTTTATGCTACTTGGGGCTCCCACATTGCTTTCACTCATCTACAACCCCTGTGCCATTAGCCTGAGATGCTTTGTCCTCCTTGTCCACCAGACACACTCTTCCCTTCACACTGGCTTACTGCCATCCTCTTTCTCATCCTGTCCCTATTTTCCTAGGGGCTTCTTACATTAGCACAGGCTCTGGAGCTGGCAAGCCCAGGCTTGTGTCTGCTTAAAGCACAAGTTAGCCTCCTCATGAACACATCCTTGGCATTTTGAAGTCTTTTTCTAGGACTAGAATTAGTACATCATGGTTATTTGTTTACATGTCTATCTTGCAATTAATAAGCACACTAAGAGTACTCCACATGTTGGCCTTTTAGGTGTTGTGCTAAGCAAACTTTGCCTGCAGTGGTCATCGAGTCCTAGGTTCTGTTTAAATTAGACTCGTTCTCCAGATAAGGCAACTGAGACCTAGAATGTACAGCAATTTGCCTGCAGTCACACCCTACCAGCCTCAGACCTATCTGCCAAGAGCACTCAGGGACCCAGACCCTGTCACTCACGTGATGCCGTCCCAAGGAGATGCCACAGTGCCTAGAGTGCTGAAGAAGCCCAGGAATATGTGGAAGGGGACAATAGAGAAGCCTACTTGGGATGTGCAAGTGCTTACCTGGAATGGAAAAGTGGAGGTCCTCAGGGATGAGGACCAAAAGAAGCAGCAGAGCAGCAGGGATTGGAGTCATAAGTGCATCAGACAATGAAGGAGATATACACACATGCAAGGGCATACAGGCATGTGTCTTCCTAATGAGAGATTAGTGTGGGTTCTCTGTTCATCAGAAAGAAAATGAATGTGCCTGGGAACCTGAATTCTGCTATGATTCATAACACAAATGTGATACAGGAGGCCTCTTGCTGCGTTTTACAGCTGTGCACTTTGGCCTACGTGGTCAGCAGGGACCCTAAAACTGGGAATAGCAAGATCAAGAGGACCAAAGCTTTTGTTGTTTTAAAGACGCATTAACCACATTTGGCAGAGAAGCTCTCGGAACGACCGCTCTGCCCAGAATCAAGTCCTAGCCAATTTGATTAGCCCCTTGTTTTTTTCAGAGCACTTTGCAAAACCATGCAGGCATTATTAGTGTTCTATTTTTGAGTACTGATGCTGGTTTATGTGGATTTTATATATAGTTATATATGTGTAAGTGTAATTAATGTGTTGAAATGTCTAGCACATCCCAAACAAAATGTAACCTTTGGAAGGAGCTATTGGAGCTTGAGGTGTGGTCCTCAAGAACAAATTGCTGCTTGCAGTTCCACTGTTCCAAACATGCAGCTCTGCATTTGCTGAGCTGGTGCCTGAGTACTTGCCTGGGGGTGATTTGCTGCAGTCTAAAGCACAGCCACTGATATGTGGGCGTGGCTTGGAAAGCCATGGACTAGCTGGGGTCTGAACTTATGCAACTGCAGAAGTCTGTGTCCCCCAAACCCAAAGCAGCCAGCACATCCTAAAAGGTTTAATTATCCCTCTTGTTACAACAGCAACCCAGCGCCACCCTCACCACACACACATACCCCCCATTTCCAGAAGCCAGCAGGTTTTTTCCCATCAGAATCCCAGCAAGGCTATCGCTTTGCACTTTGCAGTAACTACCACTACCACTACCCTGATCGTCTGCCTCTTCACCTGGGATGCATGTTTTTGAGACCAAGTTCCAGTAGACTAATTTCTCTAATAAAATATAAAAATGCTTTAAAACTTACCAACTCGCTATTCACTGTAACCAGGGAGGAGCAGAGAGCCATGACTCAGCATGTTAAAAGGCAGATTTAAGTTGAATACCTGGCCATTGTCCTGATTTTATACCCGCCAGACTTAACTGAAAAAATAGAAGTGTCTCCGTTGAATTTATCTTATTAGAGGATTTAGGTTATGTTAATGCTATAGCTTCATTAATTACCCCATATCAATAAAAAAAAGGCAGCTTTTAGCCTCCTAGCGAAAGAGAGGAAAAGAAATAGTGGTATCAAAGGGAACCTTCAAAGACAGCCAGAGCTGTCTCCAGGGTAATTTCTGATCCCTGCATTCTTCCCACTTCAAAGTTGGATGTGGGGGGGGGGGGGGGCGAGGGGGTTGGGGAAGCTGGAATCTGATTTCTCTAATAAGTGTTGGCATCAGCCCCGTTTGATATTAGATGCAGGGAACATTTTGATTTGTTATAGCCTTTGAAATTGTTCAGACGACCTTCAGAAAAGCGGCCTCTTGTTCCTTCTGGGGGAAGGGGGAAAAGCTGGGGAAGGGGACTCCGGCCTAATTTGCACGCCGACGGTGCCCTGAGTTGTGCTTTCAGCAGTTTCTAGTAATAAATGTCTGTCCTGATCGAAAGTGAAAAGTTGAAGAACAACAGACCTGTAACACTAGTTCTTTGGGGAGACTTATTCACTTTTCTATTCTCCGGGGAGGAGTGGGTACATTAAGAAGGTGACCAGGTAGAAGTTTATGGTTTTGTTTTTTTTTTAAAGATTTTATTTATTTATTCATGACAGACACAGAGAGAGAGAGGCAGAGACATAGGCAGAGGGAGAAGCAGGCTCTGTGCAGGGAGCCCGACGTGGGACTCGATCCTGGGTCTCCAGGATCAAGCCCTCGGCTGAAGGCGGCGCTAAACTGCTGAGCCACCCGGACTGCCCAGAAGCTTATGGTTTCGAAAACTCGGGTTGTCATGGAGAAACATGCCACCATTGCTGGTTTATGGCCCTCTGCCCCTATGGACGCATCACCTTACAAGGTGAAGATGCTAATAAATAAAAGTTTTAAACATTGAAGGCCTGTGTGAAGCTTATGAGTTTTATTTGGAATTGTCAATTTTAGACAATTGATGGTATCTTAACACTATTTTTTGAAATGAAGAATCGGTAACTTTCTGAGAAGCTGCCAGAATTTTTACTGGCTGCTGAGTGAATTTCAGGGGTGATGATTGTCATATGAGCAGGCCTCGGAGCAGATTTGTCATGTTGAATTTCCTCAAGAGTACCACCCACCCCACCCCCCAACCACAACAACTGCCACTGCTTGTCGGGCAGGGGGACTCGAAGTCAGCCCTCCTGAATTCTAGCTGAAAGGCCATCTTCCTCCCAGGTTGAGGTCTGGGCCTTGTGGCAGCAGAGCTGGTTTTGAATTTTCTACCACATCCTCGTTGTGTGATGTTAGACATTTTACTTAACTTCTCTGAGCCTCTGTGTCCTCGTCTGGAAGTTGGGGATGGTTTCATCATCCTCATCCAGATGTCTGGGAGAATGCAACAGCCCTGTGTCCTCAGGCTTTGCACGCAACGGGGAATCTGCTTATCACTCTCCCTCTGCTCCTCCCCTCCTCACTCGTTCTCTATCTCAAAATAAATAAATAAAATATTTTTTTAAAAAAGTTAACACAGGTATAGTGCAGGCCAGATGTACTGTCCTCAGTGAATGGTGTCTGCCCTCATGCTGGCGATGCTGATGGCAATGGTCATTGTCATAGCTGGCATGCCCTTGCCTTCTGATAGTGGGCCATTCTAATTTTTCTTTCCAGTAAGTCAATTTGATTGTTACCATTCTTATTAGTCAAGAGGCCCTTTGACATCTTGATGTTTAACCTGAGAGCAAATATGTCTGTGCTAGAGCAATTGGTTATCTGTGGGGTTTGTTTCCATTTTACCCAAGAATAGAACACATTCCTACCCCCAAAATACTCATTCCAATCCCCAGAGTCCCAGAGGCTGCTCCTAAGACTGCAGATTCAGCCACCAATTACCATAAGGTTGGCTTTTCCATTTTAAGATCTAATGTTTGCCAGAATACTGAGAGGTGCTTTACTTTCTTTCCCTGACATTGTAGTTCAGAATAATTTCCTGTTCATCAGGCTGAAAGTTTACAGCTTCCAGAATGATCCTTTTTGAATATCACAGCCAGCAAAAATAAATTGGTAGCCATGCCTGCCTTTGCAGCAAATAAGCTGAAGCTAATAAATATTCACTTGGATCAGTCCTGGCTCCCTGAAATGAATTTCTGAAATCTTCCTGGCCCTGAGGAAAGGCAGAGCACTGACTCCAGAACACTCACTTACATGGCTTTCTTTGGCATAAATCTAGCAGAAAATCGAGTACAAACTGCCTGCTGCGCCTTCGCGGCAATAGGGGAGCCCATTGTTACCAGTTCCCATTCTTACCCGTGCGCACCTGGTACGTAGGGCATATCGTCTAACATCCTTCTGCCCCAGATGGCTGCAGCTATTCCCTAGGGCCCTGAATTATATATTTAAACCGCCTTTCAGAAAAGAGCAGCATGCTCACTTTGAATGAGCTTGCTGTGTTTTGAGAAGCTAACAATTAGGCTGGAGAGTCCACCTCTTAATTAAAGTTGTCCGCGTTTCTCCCTAGATGATTTCTCTATTAAAACATTGCGCAGATACTGAAGAGTTGGGGTTGGTTGTTGGTTTGTTTGTTTTTTTAAATAATTGTCTCTTTTAAATAAAAAGTATAACTTTTCAGTTTATATGGAGCTTCTTCCTTTTCTCGTTCTCCATGGCCCCATGTTTATGTCTTGGTCTGCCTACGTATGGTGGGAACAGGCAGGAAGGATAAACAGTGGAGAACCTCCGAAGAAACAGCTGTGGGCTTCAGATGGAAAGGGAGCTGTGCTAGCTCCAAGTTGAGACACTGATATTACTCTTCCTAAAATTTAGATTTCGAATCTTTGGCATCTCCCCGTCATCTTGGTGGTGATTTGGCAGAACTGAGGGATACAAAATATCATTCTTACTCATTCTGCACTCTCTGAATAATCTTTAAGTGCTGCATTTTTAAGCCGGAGGCTCCACTGTGGCACTGGGAACACAGTAGCAATTCGCATTCTCCCTGGAATGACCAGCCGGCCAGCAGTTTTCTTTCTTTTCTTTTTTTATTTTTATTTATTTATGATAGTTACAGAGAGAGAGAGAGAGAGAGAGAGAGAGAGGCAGAGACACAGGCAGAGGGAGAAGCAGGCTCCACGCACCGGGAGCCCGACGTGGGATTCGATCCCGGGTCTCCAGGATCGCGCCCTGGGCCAAAGGCAGGCGCCAAACCGCTGCGCCACCCAGGGATCCCGGCCAGCAGTTTTCTTCAGCGGAATTGACAATGTGGGAAATTCCTTCTGTTTCTTTTGAGGTTTCCTTCAGAGTTATCTGGAGGTAACATGTCACTTTCCCCCCTACAAACTGTTCACCTACCAAATTAAAATTCTAATACTTAAAGCCTTTTTTTTTTTTTTTTGATCAAGTGGCTTAAGGCGGGGAGCGAGGGTGGGGTCCAGTGACTAAAAGTTGATGCCACTTTTCTGGAGAGCAGGTTAGCCAGAGTAGGAGAGAGGGATCAATTAGAGGCTTCTCTGGAAATCCAGGAACAAGATGATAACACCAGAGGGGAGAGGGAGAAGTGGACCCATTCGCATGAACCTTCAGGCAGAGTTCTAGTACTTCTCCTGGGCTTGGATCAGCTAAACCTGGCACTCTCCAACAGCAGCCCTGCTGGAGTCCAGAGGGACCTTCTCGGAATCATCCAAACCTCCTCTGTGGCCTGAAAGTTCTCAAACACAGCGCAGTTCACAGGAAACTAATTCGGAGCAGGAAGAAGCCAGAGAGAACTGAATGCCTGTGGGCAGACTACCTTTCAATTCCAAGGACCATTTGCAACAAACCAGGTTTTGGTGTTTTCCTCAGAACAAAAACAGAACTCTAAACTTCCCCATGTCAAGTGCAACACTTCACTCCTGTCCTATTAGAGGAACCTTCCCGTGTGATTGTTTCTCGTGTTCCCAGGTGCTCCAGAATCAATAACACAACCTATAGACCATACAGTCGTATCCCAGGTTTCTACCTTGACCACTGGCCAACCCCAAAGGCAGGTTCCAAGAGGCCCATTGAGCAAGTATTTTAATTTGTTCAGCTCTGGAACTCATATATTGCGGTTGACTTGTTAGTACCCCTGGGATATACTGACTCTTCTGATCTGCCCTGTCCTTGAGCTATCCTCCAACACTGTATTGGGGACAATTCTGTTTTTGCTATACTTAACTCATAAATTCACAAAACAGTGAGAATGCATTGACGACTTATCATACAAAACTAAAGCAAAAGTCCTTTTGGTCAGAATAAGCCACTGACATGCCCTGTACAAGACCAAGTGTGGCCAGAGGAAGACTGGACTGAGTTGACTCCGAGCCCTAACCACGACCTCCAGCCTACTCCCTTGTGAACTAGAGGTGCCCTAGATCAAGGGTCCCTGGCCTGACTAGCCATCACAGTTACACCACCATGTGGGAACAAAGCTGAAACAGATGAACAAATTCTCAGGCCCACTGTAAACTTACTGATTCAGACACTCCAGGGGAGAAACCAAGGAATATATATCAAACAAAAAAAACAAAAATTCCCCCCAGCAGCTTCTGATGCCAGCCAAGTTTAAGCACTGCCAGGCCATACCATCCATAAAAAGCCTCTCCAGATTGCCGTGGACAGTTAAATGGGACCAGCCACTGGCTTGTTCTAGGGATTAATTGAGTGTGTGTGGAGGGCGTAGTCAGGTGTCTGGTGTGGAGCAAGTGCTCAGCAACTGGGAGCTGCTAGTTTTTCTCCACTCAGCGGGGACCTGCTGATGCCTATGATATGCTTGGGCCCACACCAGGACAACACAAGCAAAAGAAAGTTCCAGGTGGTTTTAAGTGCAATAAAAATTTCAAATTTTTGAAAAGATAAGACAACAGGTATGAAAATAATATTTTAGACAAGGTAACTGGGAAATGACTCTCTAATAAGGTGACGTTTGAACTGAAGAATGTTAGGAGGAGCCATGTGAAGGTTTGTGGGGAAAAAGCAATCTGTACAAAGATCCTGAGGCAGGATTGACATTGGCATGCAAGGAAACCATGGTAGGAGCCCAGGTAAGAAGAGGGAGCCAGGGACTCAGCTCATGTGGCTGTGGAACAAGTGCCTCATGCTAACTTCCCTATATCCCTTCTGTTGATTTCCTTGTAGAGTGGAAATTCTGGTGAAGAGAGAAGAAATTCAGGCAAGACCTTTAATATGCACATGCGATGCCATGATTCTGTTATTCCATAATCACATTTATTATTTCAAGCTGAATGCAGTAGTTCCAGTGTCATCTCTCCAAGTGTACAATTCTAAAATTGATGCTCATATTTTCTCCTTCCCTCCAGCTTGATATATGGTCGAAATCCAACTATCAAGTATTCCAGAAGGTAAGCTTTACTTTTCATTTTTTACTCAAGAAGCAGTAATGGAAATATGGATGCTCAAAGGTGAAAACATTGGTCTTAAGTTAGAAGCTTTTTTTTTTAATATTTTATTTATTTATTCATGAGAGAGAGGGAGAGACACAGGCAGAGGGAGAAGCAGGCTCCATGCAGGGAGCCCGATGTGGGACTCGATCCCAGGACTCCAGGATCACACCCTGGGCCCAAGGCAGGCACCAAACTGCTGAGCCACCCAGAGATCCCCAAGTTAGAAGCTTTTTAAAAACTGAAAAAAAGCCATACACAAAAGGCTGCTCATGGTATGACTCCATTCATATGACATTCTGGAAAAGATGAAACCTTAGGAACAGAAATCAGATCAGTGGTGTCCAGGCACTGGAGGAGGTTGTCCCCAGTGGGGGGTGGGAGGAAATGTGTTGGGTGATGGAAGTATTCTGTGTCTTAATTGTGGTGCTGATCATGTTCCCACACTCACAGAGCTGTACACCTACTGTAGAGGGAAACTGTACTTTCCTTCCTGTGGAGGGGAGGTTTCCAGTGAATCTCCATACTTCACTCTTGATCACCGAACACATTGGGGTTTGCCCCACAGGAACAGGACACAAGCTGGGTGTCCTACAGTTTCACTCAGCCTGACACTATCTACCCAGAGATGCAGACCCCAGTCACAAATTGGGTTATTGCCTGTCCTACTGGCAGTAGATCGGAGGTTCCCATGCCCCCCTTCCTTGGGTTCTGTTGGTCCTCCCGAGCAGCTCACAAAACCCAGGGAGATGCTTACTTAGGCTTACCAGTTTATTAAAGGACATGATAAAGGATACAGATGGACAGCCAGATGGAGCGACACATAGAGCAAGATCTGGGAGGGCCTCTAGCACAGGAGTTTTGGTCCCCATGGAGTTGGGGTGCATCATCACTCTTGTAGTGCTATGTTGGCCAGTCTGGAAGCTCTCCAACGCCCATAGTGCTGGGATTTGAAGGCGGCTTCCTCATGTAGACATAATTGATCATTAACTCGGTTTCCAGCCCCACTCCCCTTCCTGAAAGATGGGGAATGAGAGAAAATTCTAAGTGTCTAATTACTGTAATAATGGCGTGGCCTTTCTGGTGACCAGCCCCCACCCAGGTGCCCACCCAGAGTCGCCTCATTAGAACAAGGGGTGTCCCTAGTGTTCTTACCACTTAGGAAATTATTAGGGTTTCAGGAGCTCTATGCCAGGAACCATGGACAGATCAAAAAAACTATGTGTGCATTTTTTTCTGTTACCTCACACCAACAAAGGGTGAATTTTGCAGTATGGACATCATACTTTACCAAAAAAAATTAAAACACAGAGGCTTTTGAGTTGTTCCAAGCCTACTTGGTATTTAAGCTCAGTTGCTTAGAGCCCTGTGGTCTCCGTAGGTGCTAGTATGGGCTGAAGGAGGCAGGCTGGCCCTGTCCTCACCCTACCACCACCCCCACTTTACACTGCCCACCTCTTTTTCCAATGTAAGGCTTCCCCATGAAAGGCTATTTCAGAAATGTGGGAAGAAATGTGACTAGAGAAAATCCTTTCCCAGCTTCTGATCATAGAAGAGGGGCCCTTTCCCAGAGCACCCAGAGCAGCTCAGCACCTAGGGCTTACGAGGGCTCCCTCTGTCCCTGCTTTCCTCCAGCAGCACACACAATGGGATTGGTTGTGGTTTCATTCAGTGCCCCAACCAGCCCAGCAACAATCACTTACGGAACTCCTTTGCCAAGGGCCAGGCACGATGCTGGGTGCTAGGAATACAAGCGGACAGACAGGAAGGGAGGGAAGGAAGGTAACTCCAGAGAGTTACCTCGAGGACTGCAGTCAAGAACAACAGGAGGGGTTCCTGATGTTGGGTGGTCACAGGAGGCCTGTAGTGGGCAGGACCTAACCCGAGACTGGCCGCTCATGAGGAGGAACTGGTCATTTGAAAAGCCACAAGGAGAGATTCCCAGGCAGCAGGCTGTTTTTAATTGAGGTGAAATGCTCATAACATAAAATTAACACAATTCCGTGACTTCTGTAATGTTGTGGGACATGCCCCCCCATCTAGTTCCAGAACCTTTTCATCATCCCAAAAGGAAACCCTGTCCCCATTAAGCAGTGAGTGTAGAGCTCCTGTATCAAAGCAGCATAATGGACCAGCTCTCTAATGGTGTTTAATACGTCACTTCACATTGTTCCCTAGACCCCTCACCATAAAAGACTAGGCCGAGGACGGATGCCTACAGCTAGGAGAGAAGTATGAGGCCCAACGCCACACATTTAGGAGCCTGTGAAAGCATTAAAACTTCACGATCTGATGACAGTTGAATGCAACATGCTATCGTGAAGCAGAAAGAGAAGTTAATGAGAAAATGAGCGTAGTCACTAATAAGTAACCAATGTTGGTTTCTTAGCTGTACCAAAGGTCCCAGGTCATGACAAGTGTCAACAGTGGGGGAAACTGGGCTAGAGATACATGGGAGTTGTGCGCACCATCTTTGCAACCTTTCCAGTCCAAAATCAAGTTTATCCTGAAAACAAAATCCTCTTGACTCTTCTAACACTCCTTTACTCAGCTGAACTACCTAGATGCATAGTGGAGAAAATCACCTCTGACCCTCAGTCAGGAGCCTGAACGGAAGGTGTATGTGGTCATAGGTAGGCTCTAGGACAGGCAGCTACATTTGAATCTTGGCATTCTTATCTAAGTGACCATATACCTGAGGCATTTACTTGTTCGGCATACCTAAAGTCTCAGCCTTAAATACTAATAACTTTGTGCTGACTGCTTTTGTCATTTTTTTTCCCCAGCAGCTGGTGGAAAAGCATCCTAAAGAGAACACTGGTCATTATCCGCATCGTGTTTTGCTTTAGTAGTGAGGAACATTAAAGCAGTTTTGTTTTTTTAGCTGGGTTTATCTCAGTGTCCTCTGAGGTATTGCAGTGACTTACCTCCTCCAGGCCCCGCAGAGGCAGCCAGTGGCTTCAGGGAGCCAAGAGCACTGCCAACCGGAACTGGTCTTTTAACAATGTCCTGATTTCCATTCAAATACCCCTTGTGAGGGAGGGGCTTGCACATGCTGGCCTTTGCAGAGATACCTTTTTTTAATGTTCTGTGTAGAATTAAGTATTTTTAAATGCAAGCAGAAAGTTTATTAGGAGGTTGTAAAATGTGTGAAATACAGATTTGGTGAAGCATGGATGCGGAGAGACAGTACTGTATTTTTATTCTACCTCCCCTAAAAATAACCTGCCAAGCACTCTCTGTATTTGTTTAAAGCACACACTGAAGCAGGGTTTAAAATTCGATATTAGTTCAGTCGGAGAGACGTGGGCGCACCGGCCAGGTTCTCCCTCGCAGTCTGTGTGATGTGTTTGAAGCAGTGAGAGTGGATGTGTTTATTGGGATGGGATTTTACCCCCCTGGTGAATGACATGTTGTCTGTGTGTGGACAGAGCCCTTTCTGAGATTCCTTCAGCATTCCTACCTTCACCTATTTTTAACTAAATGGACTTGACCTGATACTGACCTGTACTCAATTAAAGAACCACAATTTGGGGATGGGAGATAGTGCTCTCTGATTACAACTAACTGCAGGTAATGAAGTCCTTTTCCTGTTCTAGGGGCAGGTAAGAGTCAGTGGATTAAGGAGTCTTCTGTCTTTCCTACTAAAACATTGTCTTTTGCTGTCAAAGGAAGGAATATACTGGAAAATAACATAGTACAAAATTAAGCTTCATCCTTCATCGGTAAAGCTTTCAACTAATCATCATCACACAGGAGGGGTTTGGGATTTTGTTTAAAAGAAAGTCATTGCCTTGCCAAAGATGCTGGTGGGAAGGATGGAGGACAGGTAGTGTGGCCTCATGAAAGGGCAGGACAGTACAGTGCCTGTTTTTCTGTTAGCCTCAGGCCGCGTTGGTGGACAGGGGACAGACTGCACAATGAAAACAAAGCTGGGACCGCTTCATCTGTGGCAGACTCCAAAGGCCTGGTGCGATTTATGGGTTGGTGGTTAGCATTTCCAACTCAAAATGCCAGAAGAGAAGGATTAGGTGGCAACATTTCTAACTCTGCTTTTTAGTCTTAGCTTTTTCTCAGAAATCCTATTTGCTTCTTGTCCACCCACTGGAATTTTGGTGTCCTGATCGATGTTCCTGGGAGCATTTCCCACAAAGACACTGCAAGTGTGTGGTAAACATCCCCTCCCGCCTGTCATCTGTCTGCTTACACTCATGTGCATGGACCAAGAGGCCTGGTTGTCTGCATTGTCTAGAAAGGCTCAACCTGGAACAGGAGGGAGGTGCTGTTTCAGACTAAAGTGACATGGCCAAGGAGGGTCCTTGTTGTCAAGTGGGAAGGGATCTCTCCAGCAGAACACTGTACCCGAACGTCCTCACCCTGGCAACCGGTGCCAGACCTGCCCCCCAACTCCCAAGATGGGAGTCCAGGCCACCAGCACCGACCCTCCTAGTACAGTTGGAGGAACTCTCTCCCAGCATTGCCGTGGTGTAGGAAACCAGGACTGCCTTTCTTTGGTATTCATTATGTGGTCGCAATCACTGTGGACTGTTTGTGTTTTCCTGCTCACAAGCAGCAATGGTGGCGGCCACAGAGAGAGGCTTGCTGGGAAGGTGGGACCCCTCCCAGGTCTTTCCCCTCAGTGTGACAAAGCAGGATGGTGGGAGGAGGGCTGCCTCACAGAGTCAGCCCCAGCTTATGCTCGCCTTTTTATTCATGGAAGAGAATGCCAGGAGCTAAGAGAATGGAAACACACACCTGTCACATTCTCCTCAGGCCGTATTTGCAGGACTCCCTGGGTTAAAGCAGGCACATAAGGCCCTGTCACAAGTCCCACCACGTGAAACTAAATGAGGCCTGCCTTTTGTCTGTGGTGGGGACTGTCAGCAAGCCCTGTCCCTCTTCCTCATTAGACCCCTTACCCCGGTGCAGGGAAGCAGCAGAGGGCTGGGGACAGCTTGCTG